TGGCTTGTTGAAATTGCATGTGACATTTCATATGCATCTAGGTTGGGGAGTAGCCTCTTTAGGAGATATATTATTGAGCGTGGCTCACCCTTTATGGGGAACATTTTAGGTGTGGGGTATACACTAGTGGACAGCTCAAACTTGGGGCCTCAAGGATGAAGAAAAGCCGAATTGTGGCTTTCAAAATCATCTTTTGTAAAATATTTATTAAATTTGATTTTGGGCATGTAAATCTATGGGAAAGAATTATAATCGAACTCATATGGACTATTGTTAATGTAAAATTACATATTGTTAAATAAGTATGGATAAATGGACCTCGTGTGGTTAATGTCGTATGATTTCATAGGTTGTGTTTTAGGTAGAGCTCTCCATACAGAGGAGACTCTACCCGAAGTTTGTTAAATTATGCATCCCAGAAAATGGAGCATAATGGCGTGATATCAAGTTACACGGTATCCATGGCTATTCTACAGGTTGATGGATGATCAACGGGTTAACAAATGACCCATGGTTTTTGGGGCATCACAACAACTACATGATATCTGTATTAAACTCAAACCTAGCATAAGTGAGATGGAATAATTAATGATCAAAGTTCAAGTAGTTATGTTATAACATTTTGGGAGGAGATTGGTAATGAGTTAATTCAAAAATGGCTAAGCATTCATACATATGTTATTACGACATAGTTCATGTACGAATAATATTTATATGAAGTTTGTGACGTTGTGTGTTAGGTATAGAGGTGACGACATCATTGTCTATCGCACCTAAAGTCTCGTATAGGGAATAATCTTGAGATAGAGTTAAATCAAAGGTGACTGTGCTCTTTCATACAATTGATAATGGAAGAGTATACCTATTTATTATGAATGAATGACTATGTGGTTAATGACTTGTGATTATGCTAAATAGCCTTAAAGGAAGTTATATAACCTCAGTGGCAGATATTGCCTTAGTGGCAGATATAGCCTTAAAGATAAATATATAGTCTTAGTGACGAATATGACATTAATGCCCAACATAGCTTTAGTGGCGAATATAGCACTAAAGGCAAGTATTTAGCCTTAATGGCGGATATATATATATATATATATATATGTATGTATGTATGTATATTAGGCGGTGAAGGTATGGAGTCAAATCTGGGAAGAGAATAAGGAGATATTTGAAAAGGGGGAGGCAAAGAAGTAGTAGAAATGTTGAAGAGGATACAACCCACTCTTGGACATAAGACTATGCGCATTACGTGCTTGATCTAGCAATCTTGGACCATTCTTTTGATGAAATTTTACTAAACTAAAAAAGAAAGAAGAGAAATAACTAGGAGTTGGCACCTACATAACTGCTTGCTTGCTTACCAAGCTATCCTGGGAAACAAATGTGATGGCTTCGATGGTGGTTATTTATTTATTATATTGACAGGGTGATGACATACAGGATATATTTTCATTGTTGTCTATTATATGAATGTGTACATTCACTGAATGCGATTTGCTCACCCCACTAGTGGGTGTAGATGGTCAAGGGAAGAATTGGATTTGAGTTTAAGTTTATATCATTATGTGATATTGGTGTCATGCATATATTTTTAAAATGTTAAAGTTGAAGTTGTGGATTTGAGAGGATAGTGCGTTACATAATTTGTTTATATGTGTGAATTTTATTTATGTGTTGATGCACCTAGTGGGTGCTTGCACTGTAAGTTTATTATAATTATGCATAAATTATTGAGGTTATGCTTAATAAGTGGGGCCCACTATGTCGGAGAAGACGATATATACTACCTCTAGGGTAGTGTGTGACATCAATCGCAAGGACGTCAAAGCTACTGACAAAGCTCATGGAAAAACCAAGGCTTAGGGAGGAGACTCAACTCGAACAGGCTAGTAAAGGAGCAGGAGTGAAGAACCCTAAAGAGTACAAAACTACTCTTCTAACATTGTACGTTCCACTAGGACTGAGGTAATTTGATAGAGGATTTCAGAAAGCTCTGTCAGGAGATCGAACGACTCATTCATTGAGGTCGGCTTCAAGAGTTGAAAAGCCAAGACAAGCTCAAGCAAGAAGTTATCCTGTGCCTCAACCATATGCTGACCACAAAATGTCTACCGGGATTATCAACTAATAATGCTCTAGCCATTAATTAACTGTAGGAATGTGTTATTGAGCTCCTAACTTGTAAACCCCCACATGTTTATATTAATATAATGATATAATTTTTTAGTAATTCTAATATATGTAATGACGTAAGAATGAACCACATAGATTATAACAGTAGAAATAAATATTTGGGAGACAAATTGATTGTGAGGTTTAAGTTGCGAAGGTATTTAAGCTTGGAAGAGGTTGTTAGGTAAGTTCAAAACATTTATAGGTCAAAATAAGATTTCCATTGAATCTGGAAGGTTGAGAAACATTGGGAGAAGTAATATGGGGTGTATTAGAAGTTATAAAGTGTTCCGGAGTTAAAGCACACTTTAGAGAAAATTTGGGTAAAAAGGATCTTGGACACTGCCTAGTATTTTGATCAGTACTTTTTATTCTGAAGTCCATTTGATCTAAAATTTGGACAGTGGATATTAGATTTCTAGGGCTACAAAAATGTTTTTCACAAAAAGTTTCCAAATCGATCTCTAAATAGGCCAAAAACTGCGCTGAAAGTTTTAGCAGACAAAGTGTATTGGTACAGTTTACCAGTACTTCGAACTCCAGAAGCTAAATAGTATCGGTACGCTTGGTAAAACCCAGTTCGACACGATTTCGGGTTTTGTCTCCGTATCTCACCCTATAAATACATAATGACGCCTCCCTTAGCCCCATTTCAACACTTATAACCCTAGAAAGTCCTAGAGAGAAAGAAAGGAGGAGAAAAACAAGAGATTAAGAGTGGATTCAACTTGGGGAAAGATCAAATCTCAAGTTCTTCACACAAAAACCAAGGAAGAAGAAGGTAGGGGTTTTCTTCCATTCTTGTCCATCGATGCTAGGGCTAATATATATGTATGTTTTGACTCCTAATCTTATGTATTTGCTATGGGTTCTTTGTTTCTTGGTCTTCTTGCAATTATTATCATGTTTGAAACAAAGTTAGGGTTGAATACCCATGAAATATCTTTTTCTTGATTTAAAACCCTAGTTTTCAAGAGTGATGGATTTTCCTTTTGATTCTTCCTTGGTTCTTGATTTCAAAATCTTAGTGCTTTGTGTTGAGTAATAAAATGATATTGAGGATGATCTCTTGCATTTTCTTCAATGTTCTATTGAAATGATACATGTGAAAGTTTGGAGATTGTTGAAATTACTTGTGCTCTTAGAAATACCCATGGAATTGGGGGTTTTGAAAATTGTTTGTTATTGATGGAATTGTTGGTATTGTATCTCTTGTGTGGGTGTTTGGATAAACATGGGCTACGATTGACCGGGTATCATAGAGTGGATAGATGTCTCCTTACTCCGTGCGGGTTTGGACATATCCTACCACTCATAGTGGGTTTGGTGCCTTGTGAGGATCAAACCACTATTAGCTCACAGGTGCCGTGTCAGAGAATTAGTATACTAATGCCTGGATTAGATTCGTCATTGCCATGGTGTTGGCATACGGCCTTCCTAAAGGTTGGATATCCTTGCGAGGATTTGTGTGGATTGTACGTGGGACATGATGCTTTTGATGGTGACCATGCTAAATCTTACTTCATACCTGAGATACGAATACTGTGATGGTTTATTGTTCATTGTACCAGAAATGGTTTCTACAAGAATCTTGGGAAGTATGAGATTCCGCAAGAAGTTGGGAGAAACAGTTTATGATGGAATGGATTATTAGTCATATATTACAGTGGTGGATTATTGTTCATTGTACCAGAAATGGTTTCTGCAAGAATCTTGGGAAGTATGGGATTTCGCAAGAACTTCGGAGAAACGGTTTATGGTGGAATAGATTATTAGTTGTATGTTGGTTTCACTTATGCATTAAATTACTACTGTTGCTTAAACTTGAGATCTGTTTAATTGTCCCTGTTTTATTTCAAAATTCATATATGCTATTTGTGAAAGGTGACTGACCGTTTTTATATGCTTTTCTAAACCTTGTTCGAGTATAGGAGAAATGTTGCTACAGAGCTTAGTGCTCACCCCCTACAAATAATATTTTTCAGATTATGTCCTAAAGGAGGAGTTGGGAGTGGATGAACCGGCACACTGGGAGACTCCTATAGAAGGGAACGTGGATCCCGAGGTGGACGCTTAGAGCAACATTATTTTTATACTAAAATAGGAAATTCATTCTGGAAATATTGTGAATTCTAGACTAATCTTTTGTAATTCCGCTGCAAGTTTAAATGTGATTCTTTTGGGATGTAATTATCATAGTCGATCACATTCTTTTGGTATGTAATGGCCATGGTTGACCTATTCTTTTGGGATAATATTCTAAATATGATATTTTATGGATAAAATTTCTTTATTTATAAAATTATTTTGTTGCTCTCATGATGTGAATGGTTTATAGATTGTAATGTCGTCCAAGGTGGGTTTTGGGGCATTACATAACTTGTTGACCCCCTTTTTAAGAGGATTGTGTGTTTTAGCCCTGAGCTCGTCGACCTCCTTTTAAAAAGACCGTTTTTTAGGGGATTGTGTGTCTGATCCCTAAGCTCGTTGATCCCCATTTCAGGGGATGGTGAGCCCCGAGCAATTGTGCTTCTGAGCTCTATGTTTGACCCTATTTTTCAAGGGATTTTGTCTCCAAGCTCCGAGGTCACCAATCTCCTTTTGAGAGGACTAAGCTTTAAAGTTGTGAGCTCTTCAAAAAAAAGAAAAGAAATCTCTCTAAATGTCTATGAAACGCATATCAAGTGTGTAGAACTAGACTGAGGCAACTGATGTGGGAACATTAAGCCTATATTGATAAGGATGGATAACTAAGATAATCATAGTTTGAAGTTTGAGATAAAGTTCAATTTGATTTGGATAGCAAACATTATCCTCTTAACAAATTAATAAGGGAGATAGGAGTTCACTTCTAGCAATACTAAAACTCTTTCAGACCAACTAATGGTAAGAAATCCAATTGGTGGAGTCGTTAGCTCAATTTTACTAGCTTTGCTAGCTCGGCCAACAAATCCTTTTGCTCTCCCAACAACTATCCTAGCCAAACCAATAGCCCCTAGCTCACCTAAAAGATCCACTAGCTCAGTCAACGGCTTCTTTAGATCGGACAATAACATATCTAATGATGTTTTATGTGATAGAGTCTAAATGAAGAAGTCCAAGAGTTATAATCACACAAGGATCAAAATTTCGTTTCGGTGCATTATTTCGGTCACCTAGAAAATGGAAAAGTTTTGACATGTTTTGAAAATATTTCGACTTGTTTCGAAAACAAAATGAAAAATAATAAAAATTTAAGAATTATTTTTTCAAAACATTGATCGAAATATATCAAAAAATATTGAAATACCTTGAAATATTCTGAAATAATTGTGTAAATGCATTGAAATATAACAATATATTTCAAATTATTATGGAACATCCTGAAGTATTAGAATTTCGATTCCATCATTGGTTCGTTTCAGTCTCATTGAAAATGGAAACGTTTTGAATGTTTCGAAATGATATTTTGATCCTTGCAATCACAACAATAGTTGATGACACCTGGGAAAAATCCCAATTTTGAGCTCAGACGCTGAGGTGGGGAGGGGAGCTCAGCCAAGCAATCCTGAGCTCAGAGATCCAAACTTGCAGCCCCCTTGACCTACAACCCGAAGGAAATTAATGGGAGATATTTGGAAACCACCCAATGCTCCCTCAACAGCAGTAAGCATCAGTCTAGGTGTAAGATCTTCAACTGCCCAAACCTTCTCCTGAAGTCAAGTGAGATGTTATGGAAAGAAGGCAAGGATCTCACCTCGGACCCCATAGAATTAGGAATTAGACTATAAATACTGTACAAAATCCTAATTATTGGGGAAACAACTCAAGTTGTATCAAGAACACTATGAAATCACCTTGAAACCATCAATATAGATCCCAAGAGTAAGAGACTCCATTGAAGAGTGGATTAGCTGAGCTCCCGAGTTGGTGAACCACTATAACTTTATGGTGTGAATCACCCCTTATCCCCAAAATCATTGCACTATTCTCACGAGCCTAGTAGCTCAGATCCAACCTTACTTATATATAGACATTCTGTTCATCCACGTTTTACACATCATCAACTTGGCGCCATCTATAGGAATGATTGTTCCTATCACAAATACACTAATATCTTTTAGTAATTGATGGTATCTACACGCAACAAAAGTAGAAGCCAGATGAATCCCCAATGGATGCAAAACCAGTAGGAAGCCACTAGCGGAAGGCAACAAGAAAACCTTTAAGACTTCTTTCCCACTACAGATGCTAATCCTCCCATGGGGGATCCCCCTTCGAATAATGAATTGGAGGCTCTTCGCTTCATCAACGAGCGTCTATTACAACAGAATGAGGAGCTCTTGAAGCTCTTACAACATCCTTAGAGGGCGCGACCAGCCTAGGATAATCCCAATGATCCCCCACAAGGGGAGCATCAATGTCTTGATCCCCTAAGGAGACTAATGAAGGGGTGAAAATAGCCAAGCCATGGGCTATGCTCCACATCCACCCCGTAGGAATGGTGACAACGAAGAAGTCCAAAGCCAGAATATGGGAACTGAGAAAAATGAGTTTCTCCCTTTCCCGCAAGAAGGGAGAGAGCAGTATTGGGAACATCGCTTCAAAGATATCTAGTAGAAGATCAGTCACATGAAGGAAGTTGTGAGAGGCAAGATCCCACTAACTATAGATGCCTTGGTCCAGCAGACTGAGTCCCTTTTACCGTAGATATGCTACACTTTCCCCTCTCTGCCTATGATGGGACAAAAGATCCCATGGATCACCTCAACACCTACAAGAACCAAATGGAGTTGCACGGGTATCAAGATTATGTGCGATGATGCACCTTCACCATTACGTTAAAAGGCTTAGCCTTAGCATGGTTTAATAGGCTAGCCCCGATGTCTATCTCCTCCTTGGGAGCTCTCTATATCCTTTGTGTCACACTTCATAGGAGTCTGAACCTATCAAAAATCGAGCTATCACCTGTTGAATGTGAAACAAAGGCCCAACGAGAACCTACAGTCTTATGTACAGAGGTTCAACTCGAAATCACTGAAAGTTGATGTTCCAGATGAAAAATTTGCCATCACAGCTTTCATCGCCAGGTTAGGAGTGCAATCGAAGGACTTGATGTTCTCTATATGACAAACCCACAAGCAAGTATGATAGAAGTGTTAGCTAAGGCAGAAAAGTATATTAATGGCAAGGAAGCTCTTCTTTCTAAGGTAGGGAACTCATCCACATAGAAGGAGAAAGGGAAGGAAGAGAGGAAGAGGGACCGAAGTCCCAAAAAATAAAAAGGGCAAGATAGGTTTTCAAGAAGAGACAAAGATCGCTCCCCAAAAAAAAGGGGAGATGTCAGGGATCCCCTAGGACCTCTACAGCTAGAATTGCAGCCATGCACCTCGGCAGCTCACCTCACTCACAGCTACGATGTCCCAGATCCTTTACGAAGTATAGAATGAGAAATTCCTGAGGTGGTCACCTTGGATGAAGGTAGACCCAACAAAAAGATATGCGACAAAGTATTGCGAGTACCACAAAAACCACGACCACCTCACAGATGATTGCATCTAGCTGAAAAAAAAAATTGAGTTCCTAATTTAGCAAGGGTAGTTGCGCCACTTTGTGGCGTATGACAATTAGAATGGAGCTCCACCGCCACCTCCAACATCTCAGCAGTAGGTCCCTGCACAACATCAACAACCTCTGGGGGAGATTAGAGTGATATACGGAGGATTCGCAGGAGGCGGGGAGTCCAACTCAGCCAGGAAGGCTCACTTACGCAGAATCAGAATTGACGAAATACTAGAAGTGCATACCACGTCCAAGACACCTTGGCTAAATACAGATGTCAATTTCTTAAACTCAGACTTGGAAGGCTACCAGCATCCTCATGATGACTCCCTTGTGGTAAAAGCCATCATCGCAAACAGAACCGTCCATAGAGTCCTTATTGACAACGACAGCTCTGTTGATATCATCTTCACATCTGCCTTCGACAAGATGGATATAGGCAGAGGCAAACTCGAGCTCACCTATTAGGGTTCTCAGGAGAAAGGATACTGCCTCTAGGGTCAATCCAACTCGTGCCCATTATGGGAGATCCTCGCCAGACCCCTACCATGACGAGGTTCCTAGTGGTTGATGCACCTTCAACATACAACATCCTGCTTGGAAAACCTTCCCTCAATGCCATGAGGGCCATCCCTTCTGCCAACCATCTTGTCATGAAGTTTTCTATGAAAAACAGAATTGGAGTGGTCCGAGGGGACTAACGTGTGGCGCGGAAGTGCTACATAGTGTCTATAAGAAAAAAGAGGTCAAAAACATCTAACTGGACAAGATTAACATGAGGGACAAATTGGAAACTATGCCAATGCCATTGGAAGAGCTGGAGCCTATCTAACTTGACAAAAAACCAGAGCACTTAGTATACGTGGGATCTAAGTTGAACGAGAAAATTAAAAACCTTCTGATCCAATTCCTTAAAAGAAATATGAAAGTGTTTGCTTGAAAATAAGAAAATATGAAAGGAATTGAACCCACAGTCATCACACACAAGCTCAGTGTGAATCTTGCCTATAAACCCATCAAACAGAAACGAAGGAGTTTTGCCTCAAAACACCAAAAGGCAATCAATGAGGAAGTTAGCAAACTTCTCCGTGTCAAAGCCATCAGGGGGTAGATTACCCAACCTAGCTAGCAAACATGGTTCTCGTCAAAAAGACCAATGGCAAGTGGCACCTCTGTATCAACTTTATTGATATCAACTAAGCTTGCCCTAAGGACAGCTTCCCCTTACCACCAAATGACCTGATTGTGGATGCCACATCTAGGAACGAGCTCCTCATCTTTATGGACGCTTTCTCTGGGTACAACCAAATTAGAATGGATCTCAGTGATCAAGAGAAGACCTCCTTCATGACTGAGCAGGGGATATATTTCTACCAGGTCATGCCCTTTTGATTGAAGAATGCTAGAGCCACCTATCAGCACTTGGTAAAATGAATGTTCCAAAAGAAAATTGGAACATCAATGGAGCTATACATCGATGAAATGCTGGTAAAATCACCAAAATTTGAGCTCTACATCAGACATCTTGAAGAATCATTCTAGGTCCTTAAGGAATAGTAGATGAAGCTCAACCCAACCAAGTGTGCCTTTGGGGTCTCTGTAAAAAAAATTTTGGGCTTCATAGTCCACAGTAAAGGAATCAAGGCAAACCCAAAAACATCTAAAGTAGTGATGGATATGTAGCCACCTTCCAACACAAGGGAGGTCTAACGCTTAACAGGAAGAATAGCAGTTTTGAGTTGTTTTGTGTCCAGGTCAAGCGACAAATGTCAACCTTTCTTTTAAAATGCTAAAGAAGGCATTTCAATAGGATACCTGGTGTGAAGAAGCATTTAGGGCCCTGAAGGATTATCTAAGCTCACCCCCAGTTTTGGTAGCTCCTTTGGAGGGAGAAATACTCTACCTTTACCTCACTATCTCAGATTTTTCAACCAGCATAGCACTAGTAAGAGAGCAAGATAGAGCTCAGTAACCAGTTTATTACTGCAGTAGAGCTCTGAAGGGGGCAGAGGAGAGATATCCAAAAATAGAGAAGCTTGTCTTAGCTTTGGTTACAGTTGTAAGAAGACTTAGACCATACTTCCAGGCTCACACCATTGAGGTCCCAATAGATCAGCCTATGAAGTAGGTATTGCATAACCCAGAGTCTTCACAGAGGTTGGTCAAATGAGCCATAGAGCTCAGTGAGTTTGATATCAGGTATAAACCCAAAGTAGCAATCAAAGGGAAAATTCTGGCAGATTTCATTGCAAAATTCACTACAAAAGCTTCTATGGAGGTAACACAGTTGGTACCTATCCTCCCCACCTGGAAGCTTTCAGTAGATAGAGCTGCCAATGCCCAAGGAAGCAGTGCAGGGTTGATTTTAACCTCCGTAGATGGAATAGACGTCGAGTATGCCCTTAATCTTGGATTCAAGGCCTCAAACAAAGATGCGAAAAATGAAGTTGTCATTATTGGACTTAATTCAAAATTTGTAGTGACTCCTAGCTCG